TCATTCCAATTAACCTTTTATTCATTCACTGCTGTGCTTTATGTTTTGATCAGCCATCAAACCTGCTACACACATTTAAGCAGTTATATGCGTTTTCCTTATATTTGATGCTTCTATAACTTCTTTAGTTAACTGCAGAAGTTTGGTCTTGGAATTTTTCTTTATTGTAGGAATGTGCTTATTCAGAGACTTCTGAAATATCCCTTCAAATGTCTGCAGTTGCTTCCCTACTAACCTATTTTCTGTCTTAACATTCCATTTCAATTCAGCTAGCTCAGCTTTCATGTCCACATGTCCCTTTTTGAAATTTAACTCTTAAATTCATTCTTCTCCCTTTTAATTTTTATATAAAATTCAATAATATTATGATTGCTGCTGCCAAGTAGTGCCTATACTCTAATTAATCTTGTCATATTATGGAATTACCACATCTAGGATAGCCTCCTCTGGTTGGTTCCAGAACCTGCTGTTACAATAAATAGTTGCAAACCCATTCTATAAACCCCTTCATTACCAGTCTGATTTTTCTATTTACACATAGATTAAAAACAATCATAATTAATGCCATCCCTAATGACAAACACTCAATATTTCATCTTGGATGCTTTGTCCTATATTGTGGTTACTGTTTGGGGATCTGTAGATTACTCCCACAAGTGACTTATTTTCCCTAATATTTCTCATATTCAGCCAATTCTGCCTAACATTGTATTCTTCTTGAATACCATATAATTTTCAATAATCTGAAACCAATGCTTGTCATCCTGCAGCCACATTTCCATAATGGCTTTCAGATCATATTTATTCACTTCAACGTGCACGCTTAATTCATTTAATTTGTTATTACACCTATTCAGATATAGAACATTTAGATTTTTTGTTATCTTTGCAGCACCTTGTTGGGTTTTTTTCCCTCCTTCTCCTTTCTTGCCATTCCCTGACCTTGACTTTTGAGGTTATTATTTTGTTTAACTGCCATGACTCTACCCTTGATTTGTTACATTTACCGAAGCTTGATCCCTCACCGCCCCGGCCCTCACGTCCCTAGTTATGTGAGCACACCAGATCCAGCACGATCCAGGTATAGACCATCTTAGCAATATAGGTCCCACTTTTCCCCAGTACTGGTGGCAGTGTTCCATGGTCTGGAATCCATTGTTTCCACACCAGTCTTTGAGTCACACATTTACTTCTATAATTTTGTTCATTTTTTGCCACTTTTCATGCGGTTCAGGAAATAATCCAGATATTATTATCATCTTTAAAGTTCTGCTTTGTAAATTAGCATCTAACTTCTCATACTCCCTTAGCAGAACCACTTTTTAATTCTACTTATGCCGTTAGTACCAATGTGGACCAAGACTACTAAATCCTCCCTCCTACTGTAATTTTTTCTCCAGAGCAGGTATCTCGAACCCTGGCACTTGTCAGAAAATACAGTCAATGAGAGATACGCTCATGGCTGCATAGAAGAGTGTAAAACCCTTCACTATCCTCTCCTCAACTATCACTATGTTCTTTTTCCTCTCCTCTCTTAAATGGCTTTCTACACCATGATGCTGTAGCCAGTTAACGCATCCATCCTGCAGTCCTCTGTCATCCAAAAAAAGCTAAGAAAACCCCAAACCTGTTACACAATGACAAAGGTTGAGACTCCAGCTCACCAGGTCCCTTACCTGCCTCACTTTCAGTCACACTCTCCTGTCCCTGACATCTGACCTAATCAGAAGATCACCTCTTGAATAAACTATCCAAGTAACTTTCCCTGTCCCTGATATGATGCAGTGTCTGAAGCTCACCTTCCAGCTCAATAACTGAACTGAAGTTCATGCAGCCACAAGCACTTATTGCAGATGAGTTAATCCTGGATCGTATTAGCACTCAGAAGTTCCTTGTGTTCTGCAATTACAGTACATCATTAGCTCTGCCACCTCTAATGTGTTAGTTAATTAGTGATTGCTAATTAACTCATTATAATTAAGACAGCATACATCTCCTAAAAAGTATTAGCACTGCCAGTAAACTTTACAAACAGTGATGAAACAATACAATACTTACAATTCTACTAATTTGTGCAGCTCAAACTATGAAATCAACTGCTGTAGGGTGAAAAGTAATTAAAAAAAGACCTCTTCCCCACGCTTCACCAAACTCCCAACTAAACATACTTTACTTCTTACAGTTAACCTTACTTAAAACACCTCTTTCCCTTATGCACCAAATTTTCACATTGAACCAGATTCCCAGATATACTCAATTGACTACTGTCTCGTGCAGACAAAAACTGCCCCACATTGACTGTGTTCCTTTACTTACCTCTATGCGGCACTGCATAAATCTAAAATTGTATAAAATTATCTGTTCTAGCCAAGTCAGATATCTCCTCTGCTAATTGAAAGAGAAAAAGAGACATGTAGTGCGACAAGAAAACTAATAGAGGAACCATAGGAAGACTACTCAGACTATTTGAAGACAAATCAAGTGTATTATTTCATAGTAGAAAGTGGAATTAGTTTATCATTCTCCATACTATGTGACACTTGTACAGGTTATCTACTTATGTTAGAAGTATGTACATGAAACATATTTACTTATTTAACAACAGTTGGTAAGGAAACTTGTGAAGGAAACTAATCAGTAATAGTTAAATTCACCAAATTTTCATTTTGTCTATAATTTTAAAAATCTTGACATATAAATCTAGTATCAGCAAAATTGATCGTTATGCTGTTGTTTTTCTTTCTAAAATTCCAATAAGTTCATAAATGTTATTTATGGAAGTGATCTCCTGCATCAACGTAGTTGACTCTTAAATGCTTTATGAAATAACCTGCAAATCGCTCAGATGTTAATTTCAACAAGAAATGGGAAATAAGTGCTGATCTGTGATTCCAACATTTCCAGCACATCCCATTTCTAAATTCTTTCACTGACCAAGTGCAGACATCTTTCACATCCCAGCATCCATTCCATGTAACTATGTAACTTCTGCCATTGTAAGGAATGTCATATAAGTTTCAATGGTGTTATAAAGACATAAAAGGTTAGATATTAAATGTTTATGGTTAAAAATAAATTGGGTATACTATTGTAAATAAGTCAGAACCACATCACAAAAATTCACAACTGCACACTGCTCCATTTACAATCAAGTTGTGCAAAGTAGCATAACTCCAAATAGTTTGTACAAAAATAAAACACTTTGTCATAAAGTGAGCTCATTACTGAAAACTTAAGACAGTCATGGAATGAGAGAAGACTATTTGTCCATTCTATAATATGGACAAATAAAACACATATTAACCATTAGAGGGAATAGTCTGCAAAAACATGGTCTTGTTTTCAAAAATAAACACTTTGATAGCCAGAATAAACACCAATCTACCAATGGCATATGTTAGGAAGGTACTTGTGGCGTTCAAATATCCAATAAAAAATCCTTTTGAAAAATGGACCTTAATAAAACACAGAAATGATAGATGTCCTTCCAGATCTAGTCAGTTTTGCAACCTGATTTATAGAAATAACTATTTAGGTTTGTCCTTGTTCACTAGAAATATCATAGCGAAGAGTAGAAAAATTATTGATAAACAAGGGACACATTACTGGAACTAAGATTTATGCCCTGAGCTTTTAGTAGTCAATACTGATTTCAATTTCTATTTGCTATTTTTGAATTGTGATGTTAATGCAACAATACTTATGATTTAGGCTTATTGTGCATTTCCTGTTTGAAAACTAAACTTTTTAGGTTTTTTTTACAGTTTATTTCTGCTTTGTTTCCACTCAGCTATTTTTTTTATCACGTAGTTAGTGAACACAACATCAATTACTGATCTAGGTATCTATTACTATAAAGGGAAAGTAAACCCTCTAATCTCACTTGATGTTTGTTAAGTTCGAACTTGTACACAATAATTTTGCACTTCTAACCAAAGTCAAATATGCTTATATTTGTCTCATAAATGACATTATGTCACATAATGATATTTATGTCTCATTATTTATGTAGGTATAAATACCAACAGGGTTTCACTTAAACCTTGTGTATAAATACAATTATAAAATTATATATAATTATTTATAATGATATTTATGTGTCATAAATATCATTTATGTCTCTCAGTATTTTAGGATGCATTTACATTTCATGCTTAGTGTTGATGTAATGCAGTTTCCACTTGATGCACTGAATACTGACGCTAATCAGAATTAAATACAATAAAGAATAAAAGCCTAGCATCATTCTGAATTGCTACTTTTTGGAGGAGGGCATTTCAGTTTTCTTGCAATCAGCAGCAGGCTAGACCTTTGTAATCAGAGGCCCCTGCTCTGAACTTTCACCAGAGCAACAGTGATGGGAAATGAAATACAACCCTCTTCCCCCTTATTGAAGTATAAACGTTCGCAAAGCGACAATCGCACCTTTCGAATGGCCACCTTTCGGTTCAAATTCTGCCAGTTCGTTCTGTTATCATTCGTGAGCATCATGAATATATTTTGATTTTAGAACAGTTGCAGAATGTACTATCGAATCTCAAAAAGCGGCAAGAAATTTCCATTGTCGCTGGGTTTTTATTGTGATGTGACCACACATTGAAATATCCGCCAGCATATGTTACGAGTGAAGATTTTTGCATTGGTGGTAAAGGTGCAGAATGTGACAGATTGAAATGAAGTGAACAGCCGAGGCTGACAGTGAAGTTTCTTCTGCTGCTGTTTTGAGAGCTTTTTGCAACAATTTCAATCGCGCATCTATCTCGCGAGAGCTGGCGCACTGCCTCCCTTCCTTTGATTGACAACCAAGATGTCGGTGGAGAAAGAGCTCGCCGGTGCAAGCTGTTGGGAACGGCGACAAAAAACACCTGCAGCAGTAGCGCGCAGCTCTTCATAGCATAAGCAGCACAAGCTGCTTTATTGAGCAAGGCCACTGTCTCCAGTCCGATTCTACCCAGCCGCATGGAGCCAATTTGAAACATATCTTCAATCCATTCAAGATTTATTAGTCAACATTGCTACTCTATAATAAAATATTTCTTTTTCTCAATTTCAATTGATTTCCAGCCATGGATGAAGACAATACGGCAAAGAGCGAAGAACAGCAGCTAACTTTGCAGAAAGCATTACAGCAATGTGAATTGGTCCAAAATATGATAGACATCAGCATCTCCAGTCTGGAAGGGTTAAGGACTAAATGTGCCACATCAAATGACCTCACGCAAAAAGAAATAAGAACACTGGAGGTAAGGAAAATAACGATAACAATGAATTGACATATTCCCCCCTCCTCTTCACCCCCACCCCCCAAATTTGCTTGTATCCGCATTGAATTTTAAATAAAATGATGTAAGCTTGATATCTAAAGAAGGCTGGATGCGGGTTAGGTGACTGCTGTATTTTGTTTATATACAATGGTGTTGTGTGCACTGTTATAAATTAAGGAGCTGCAGCAGAATGAAGCGAGTCTGCGCATTCTGCAGGTGGTGGAAAGGTGGTGGGTTCTGTGTTAAAAATGTTGGGATTATTTATTTATTTATTTACGCTCATTTGGAAATAACTGAATACGTGACATTTCGAGAAATCCTGAGTTGCACGTTTTGCATTGATGGTTCTTGATAAGGATGTGATACCAGCTGAATAATAAAGACGCTGATTTAAGAGAGCTGACACCTATTATCTACGTGCGGCTCAATATGAATTGCAAAGCGTTACATGGCCATAATGAATTATATATGGTAAGATATTTATGAGGTCCCTTGTCCTTTTACGGTCCTATCATTAACGGATAGAGATGTTAGCTGCCTGACGTCTTTCCATATCTAACAAACATCGTGTCTAGGATCAGTCACACTGATGGTGCCTCCGTAGGTGGGGAATTTTTCGGCTCTTAACTTCACAAGGATTCAAATGACTGCGCTGTTAAAGTCTGACTTATTTCTGTACTTCTGAATCATTATGGTCGGTTCAAGTTTATACTTGTTTTAAGTTGTGAACTGAAACGCTTCAAAATTCTCATTAAAAATACACGATTTTCATTCTAAAGACCGGTTTAAAGATTAACTTTAGGCTATCTACAAATGATTATTCTCGAAATACAGACATGCAGGTAGCACCTGGAATGGAAATTAACGTTTTATTTTCAGACCAGCGTATTGATGTTCTCACTAGCATTATCTTGGGGACTACATATAATGTTGCAGATTGCATGTTTTTGAAGGCTGCACCAATATTTGACGCGGATTGCTTTACAATATTTCCAGCAGTACTATATTTCTGGGCACTGTATGATTCCACATACAGTATCCTTGGGCGCTTTGTCATCCTGGAGAAAAACACTTGATAGCGACAAAGCAACGGTAGAGTTAAACGTAATTCCAGAAAGTGCATCACTATATTGTCTGGATGTTGAAGTTTCCCAAGGTATGCAGAGGTTAACACAACGCCTGGCTCCTCGTTTGACTGGCGACATCTACTGTTCGCCCTGCATCCTGAAGAAACTGCAAAACAGCACTGAGCTTCTGGGCACAACCGTCCAAATGAAATCCTGGATCGCGCGTCATGACTTGAATCTAATTTCATTGTAGTAATCTGCAAAATTAACTACCTGAACTATCCTGCGGAAGGCGATAGGCATTAATTGACTTGAACTGTTCCTGTTACATCTCTTACCCGCAGGACGGGAACATGACTGACCAGAAATTGATAACTTGTTTCGTACCTTAAAGCTAAAGAATGATTTTGCTGATTGATAAATTCATATATTTAATATCAGATATTCCAAAGCAACCAGAAACGCTATTTTTCCACGTTAGATTTCGTATAAAGAAAATTCCTTTTTAGACTTGGATTGGTTGTCTTAAAAATGCAGTGTATTTGAAAACTAAACTTAGCACATCTTGTATTGGACCCCTCATTAATCTTAAATTATGATGGTCTTGTATCAGTACAAGTACATCTGGAGATATCATCTTTATATTTTAGAAAACAGTAACAGGTGAAAAGTATTTTGTTGAACTGTTGTTAATGAGCTAGGAGCAAATTACTGCAGATGCTGGAATCTGAACTGAAACCAAAAATGCTGGAGATCACAGCGGGTCAGGCAGCCGTTAAAGAGCAGGCTAACGTTTTGAGTCTACATAACTTCTTCAGCTCTGAAGACTCATCTAGTGTCGAAACGTCAGTTTGCTTTCTCTCCATGGATGCTGCCTGACCCACTGTGATCGCCAGTATTTTCTTTTGCTTTCAGTGTTGAAAATGAGCTGTTAAGTATGGGGTAGTTTTGAAACTGTTCGCTAAACAGTCAGCGATCTTTTTTTTTGGTCAACTGTAGCAGAAGCGGTGAGAAAGTTCAGGAATTAATGGTAGTTGCCCTAAAACGGGGAGTGTGCAGCAATTTTTCACATGCAAATTAATTAAAGCATTTGCTGTTCGTTACTTCGAACCTCGACTGTGAGAGCCTTCCCTTAAGGCTTGGATGTGTAATAAAGTGTGGTGAGAAGCAAGTTGTGTTGCCCACGCTTTTTAAAACAAAACTTTGTAGCCGAAGTTCCCGACCTTGTATCAGGCAGATATGTATGTGAGTTAAAATGATGCAATGAGGCTACGTCCTGTCACAGTTCCAATGGCATACAACATTTAAAGAATGTCAAATTGCAACACTATTGATGTACTTAATAGAGAGCTACTCTACTATAAATTAGCACAACAGTCTGACCACAGAGCTTTAAATATTGCCATCATTTTAAGATGGTCTAAGAGCACTGTTTTGCATCCTTATAAGATTTCCAGTGTCAGGTGTAAAATTGGGTCCTAACTGGCTATTTTCACGTGGCTTGCAGGGCCACATAGAATTCGTGCAAACAAAATGCTATCATTCTTATGGATAGGTGGACATGCAGATCAAAATTATAATTAATGTGTTCCTCTTATTTAGTGTGGTGTAGTAGTCCATAGGCATTGTGTATTAGGGTGACAATTCATTGTGCCCCAGAGTAATAAGATACGAGTACCTTCATTGTGACTTTGCAGGTGTCTCCATAGGCAGAGATGGGAACAATCCTGGTTAATTCTGTTATATATTTTAAACAAGGTAACAGCGGATGTAGAAGAGTGCATGCTTGGTTATCTCAACATTATTGCAACTTTGCAGCTCTTCCATGAGGCTTTTCTCTGCCTGGTTGATCTGCAACACGATGCTGGAAAAATAAACCTTTTTATTTGGAACTTCCATCTCATTGAGGAAGCTTCATGCCAATTCACGTCCAATATCCTTTTTAAACAAAAACTCTGCTCACATTTTGACAACTGTCAAATTCCACCACAACAATCTCCAACATCCTGAAGCAAGCAACGTTATTTCAAATAAAACAGCCTATGGCAGACACTAAACAAAAAGTTACTTCACCCTATCTTCCAATGTTAATGGATGCATTTTAAAAAATCTGTGTTCTCGATCCTCATCTTTGCCAAAAAACAAGCACTTCTTCTTTGAGCCATGCCCTATCTGTGTGTGAGGTTTTGTTAAAAATCAGCTCATTACTTTTTGAAACTAACAAACGGGGTCCAAACATTGCCTTTTCCCTCCTTCTGTGATGATGGTAAGTTATATACATAAGATCTTGTCGGCAAACTCAGAACAGATTGTGTGCCCACCCCCTTAATGTGATATGGTAAGATCAAAAACAAAATGGGATGAGAAACTAAACAAAAATTAATTTGGTTGTACAGAACTTGAGTACTTGATATACATTTTGTTGCAGTTTTTGGGGTGGCACAGTGGCTCAGTGGCTTGCATTGCTACCTCATAGTGCCAGAGAGCTGGGTTCACTTCTATCCTTGGGTTACTGTGTGGAGTTTGCACATTTTCCCCGTGCCTATGTTGGTTTCCTCCCACAGCCCAAAGGTGTGCAGGTTAGGTAGATTGGCCGTGCTAAACTGCCCATGTCGTCCAGGGATGTGAAGGTTAGGTGGATTAGCCATGGTAAATGCGGGGTTACAGGGACAGGGTAGGGGGCTCGGTCTGGGTGGAATACTTTTTGGAGGGTTGGTGTGGACTCGATGGGCTGAATAGCCCACTTCTGCGCTGTAGGGATTCTGTGATTCAAGTTGCACTCGTTAGGACAATTTGCAAGAACACCAGTAAAGGGGAAAATCAACATTTATATTGCATGAGAGGAGGGTGCTGATTGATTGATTGGCAAATAGACTTTGATAAAGGCGTTGCCGTGGAGAATGCAATGATTAATGTTAATTGGCTGTTAGCTGCCAGGGTTTGTATAGATTTTAATAAAATAAAACAAAGAACTGCAGATGCTGGAGGTCTGAAACAAAAACAGAAATTGGTGGTGAAACTGAGCAGTCTGGCAGAATCTGTAGGAAGAAAGTAAAGTTAATGTTTCGAACCTGGTGACTGTGAGCCAGACCGGCTGAAGTTTTGTTTTTGTTTCTGGCAAGTTGACTCTGATTGTAATAATTTGTAATTTATTTGACCCTGGGGATTTGATACATGTTCGTGACTTTACAATATGGTCCTTTCTTTCTTTAGGGAAGTTCCACACAGTGTACGTGTACAAGAAATTTCAAAATTAGTAACACTGGTGCTTGAATCGGTTTCAGGCCTCGTGAAAAGATGCGTAAAAAGAAGTACCTGAGCATTGTTCTTCCCTCCCCATCACTACACAGTGTACCTGTGAGTTCTGAGAAATAAACCATTAAGTCTCAAACATCACTAATTTGAGCAATGTCCACCTTTGAGACAATCCATCTCCTGATTTTTATCATCTAAATTATGTGACTTGTTGATTTCAGAGTGTCTGAATTATTCTTAATTGGCCACTTCTACTCACAATGGGATGTGGCAGATTTTTAGTGTTTGACCAGATCTCTAGGTCTTCATCACTAGGATCAATCTCCTATCTGCTGTGTTCACTGTTTAACACACATGTACTCATGTTCTTTAGTTTTATTGGATTGGTGCCTCTTTTGTACTGTACCTGGTATATCTGCCGTTCCCTAAAAAACTGTTCTCCATTCCTCTATGTTACATTCAGACTCCATCACAGTCCTGGGCGTGTACTGTCTCACCAGCAGGTCAGAACCTACAGAGGTGGAATTTAGTAGCACCAGGTCAGACATACGCAAGGAAACTTCCTGTTGATTATAATCCACCAATCCTCCTTCAGCTGATGAATCAGTACCCGTAAATGTCACTTGGAAGAAGTTCTGAGGCTAGTATTGGCAAAGA